TAAAATATAAAAAATTTACAACATATAATTAATATGTTTCAAAATATCAGAAGAGGAGGGGGAAACTTTATTCATTGAGTCAAAGATTTTTTACATCGATTTCGTATTTGATAAAAAATTTGTTGTTGGGTAAGACTTCCGTATGCGACTCCCCTCCAATTTTTATCTACTTTGGCAGGCACGTAGTACGTACTAAAAGAAGTCGAAAGCCCCAATACCAACTTGCGGAAATGACTATTTTCTTAAACATTTAAATTATTTTTATTATTTTGCTAATTTGTGGATTTTTTGACTGCTTATGCACAATATCTTTTCTTCGCATGGAAAGTTGAAAACCCACGTAAAATTACAATAATAGACCTCATTTCGCCCTGTGAGCAAAGGAAGCGAGGTCCACCCTTCATTGCAATTGTGTGGATGGAAAAGTGTATGCGTGAATGCAGTGTAGGTTCCGTCCCTTGTAAGCGTCGCCCCTCTTTCATAAAAAAACTAATCCAACTCTAAATCTATATTTCTAGAAACTTGAAATTAAAATTTGGTCAAAAGCTGAAAATAAACACAATTTAGCATTCAAACTCACTCGATAATTATGCAAAATCTTCTCATAGCGATACAGTTATAAAACCAATACTAAAAAGAAAATTGTCTTTGAACGTCTTATTATTTGGAAGCGTTCAAATATATAACCCCAATTAATTCTTATTTATACGAAAGTTTACCATCGCACGGCCCTCTAGCGAAAATTATTTGCACTTTGTAACAGGTGCATGCACACACTTCAAAAGCACGTGATATAGGCTCTCTATTTACTGAAACAAGTCGACACAAGTGTTCTTCTGTCTTCGTTACTCATTGAATGCAAAGAAATATAGAACGATATTTGTGCCGATAAATGGAAAGTGTTAATAAATGGAAAGCACCCGTAGTAGATAGCTAATCCGGCTATCACAGCGCTCCAATGACGCACGATGTGATAGATAACTAATCCAGTTGCCACAAAAATATAACTTACATTTCAAATTCCACTTTTATAAAGCTAAACTACGTTCTAACGTACGCACTGACCTACTTAGTTATCCAAAAAACCAATCTTTCGCATTCGCAGTCCAAAAATCCAAAATCTAGCTAAATAATAAAAATTTGAATATTAAAAAAATATAGTCATTTTTGCAAGTTAGCACTAGAACAAAATCGGAGGGGGGTCGCATACGGAAGTCTAGTCTTTTTTAAATGTTACATTATCTTAATAAAAATTATCTATTTTTATTTTACATATAATTGTATTGCTCTATATTATCTCTATATTATGGAAATTACAATACATTTTTCTAGGATTTTATTGCAAATGAAAAAACATACCCTTAAGATCCCCGACACCATCACCATCACTATCCTTGAAGCTTCTGGGATAAACTTGATAAAGAGACATTGACTGCCACCATTTTGGACTAGATTCACTATATGCGAGATTGGACGATAGTAGTATCGTACAAAGCGTTATTACACCGTTCTTGTTCATCTTTGTTAGATCTTAAAAATGAATTATAAATAACTACACAGGCACACAAAAATACTGATAAATCAAGCTATTTTCCGTCGAAAAAAAATTGTGACGTGATGGAACAATTTGGACATCAAATTCGGTTTCAGAGTGTCAAAATACATAAGAATATCATGGTCTAATCTCCGGATCAAATATAACAATTTTTTTGTATGCCTGTGTTATTTATGCGCGGTAACGTCAATAAATATGTATCTAATAGTATTTGCATAGAGGATTATTCTATAAATAAATAACATCTTAATCGTAGTTTATTTTAAAAACCGTAAGAAACAAAAGATGGAAGTTTAACATTAAGTAGACTTATCGAAAATAAAACAAATTTAAGATAATTGTTAATTTTGAAAGTAACCAATGGCTTGATTAATGACTGAAACTTTATTTGTTGGACATATTGATTTAAATTGTCCTTTTAATGCTACAAAAAATATAATATCTTTAATAACGAATCATATGTCTTTAAATATTAATAGCTCTTGACCTTTGTTGTCGATTATAATGTCTGATGAAACTCTTTAAACTTGTATTGCAATATTACAAAACAAAATATAATCTGCAGGTTTATTTTAGAAACATTTTATCAAATAACAAAGATTCGGCCTCGGTGAAACGCATACTCCCCGCACAACCGAAGGTTGGCAGCAGTCGGGAGAAAAACGTAAATAAAACCTGAAACCTTTTTGATTCAGATATACTTTTTCTAACTTATTTACAAGCATTTTCTCTTAACTCAAGTTGGACTGAAATTGCAAACAACCTTGCGATGTATTATGTAAGCTGCGAGACATCTGTATAAACAGTTGTTTGTTATATCTTAACATCACAATCAATAACAATCTCAAAATTATAAATTGTGATAAGTTATTTATCAAAATGAAATAAAATTACACAAAATTATTACGATACGTTTAACAATGTTTTAAATATATTTTTTCTAATTTTCTAAAAGTAAAATAAATTATATAATTTATCACTTTAATATTTTTAGAGTACATCACGTGTCTTTTATTATCGTTTTAACATCGATTTGTATTGTATATAGAGTATTGTATATAAAAAGGTATCTTGAGACATCTCGATGTAACAGCAACTTAATTTTTGTTACTGTATTATTATAAAGTTTGTAAAATGGTAACTAGCAATAAAATTATTTCTACAAATTTGTGTACTTACTAGTAATTCATCGACACAAATGCTTACGTTTAGACTAATACAGATTTCTCAAACACTTACTGTAAGATCTACTGTTGTAAAGTAAACGAATCTTTCCTCTTTTATAGCTGCATTATGTAATTACGGTCGAGTAGAGTTTCATTCACACAACGCAATGAATTCTGCGCGGAGTACATTATATATATCTAATCGCGAGATATATACCTCTCTCTCTCTCTCTTTAGTGAAATTTTTTATCTAACTCCTTCAAGATAAAAAATCATCAATGCAAGTAAACAACAACTAAAGCAGTGTCTCTCAAAATAATAGAGCGCAAAAATTAATCGACTAACAGTAAAAAATGTTTTTAAAAAATGTATATATATATATATATGGAGGGATATATATATAAAAACCATAGTAGTGTAAGTCAAATTTTTAAAAATATTTTCTCGTGTGCATAGATGCAATCTGTACAATATATAAATTGGATCTATGCACACAAGAAAATATTTTTAAAAATTTGACTTACACCACTATGGTTTTTACCCCTCCATATATATATAATTATATATGTACGTACGCAAGGTTTCCTACTTCAAATTCATTAATTTTCCATGAAAGATTTTTTTGGTCAATTCAGAGTAACTGTTTTTTAATAAAGTCAATTTTTTGAAATATACGTTGAAGAATTCATCATCAAAATTTAAATTTTGTGCACATCTGTGTTTTTTAATATAAAAAAACAAACATATATATATTATATATATATATATATATATATGTATATATATATATAAATTAATGAAATAAATTTAAATAGTATGTAGGGGAGACTGGGGCAAACTCGACACCGAAGCAAACTTGACACTAGGCTTTTTGTCAATTTAAATCTATCGTAGAATCTTGCCTTTCTACTGTAAATGCGTCTTTATATGCCAGTATTATTAACGGAATTTGGTGAAATTCTGAGTTTTGGTGTAATTTTTAGCGCGACATAAGCGTTTTTGATAGTAAAAAGTAATTTTTCTGATCTTTTGAAAATTTCTACTCTTTCATCGAGCTTTACTTTTGCGAATCTACCGGTAAGTGATTTTGATAGGAAATTAGATGCTTTATACGAATCCGATAATAGTTTTTGCATATTTTCAAAATTTTTATATTTTTGGAATAACAAAAGTGAAAAACGACGTTCGGGGCAAACTCGACACCACGCCATTTTATTGGCTCCCAATGCTTTAACAAACGATAACATGCTTTAACAAACGATGCTTTCCGGGAAAAAAAATCTCTTAATATTCATATTAGTTTATATTAGTTTATATTAGTAGATACATGTTTATATATGATTATATAAGAAATGGAAAATATAATCTTAAACAATATTATATGGCCATATATGAGAGTATATAATTATACATGGCCATATATAAGCATATATGATTATATACTCGGGAAAAAATACCTCTTATTTGTTCATATTAGTAAATATATAATTATATATGGTCATATAAGAAATGGAAATATAATCTTGAACAATATTATATGGCTAAACCTCTTTAAGTATAACTTTATATAGTCATATATGGTTTTATATACTATAGTATATTATCATGTGTGATCATGTAAAAGTATATTTATAAGGTTAAAGATAATTATATATGAATATACATATACTCTATAATGGATCTATCCATATAAATTTGTATAACTGTTATAAATATTCTTCTATAGTATATTATTTTACTTGACAATATCAAATTAATATGAAACATATTTTATTTCTAGTTTCAGTTTACACAATTGCGTTTTACGTCCGACAAAGTCCATATTGGCACGCAGTGCCAATTTAAAAAACTGAAACATGTATTTAATAATAATTGATTGTGAAATATTATTAAGCATCAAGATCCGCTTCGACCGAAAACGGCACTTCTCATTGCTTATGTTATTTTAAGTTTTCTTTTTTCTAATTTTACATAAGATACTTAATTTTTTTAATTGACATATTAATTTTTGTTAAATATTTTTGTAAACAGTGAAATTACCAGTAATAATTCGTGAAAAAACTGTTATATAATATATATTATAGTTCTTATAAACAAATATATTAATCGTATTATTTTGCAAACATACCTTATAATTTAAACTGAAAATAATATAATCGTATATAAAATGATATAGTCATATAAAATTATATATGATCAGATCAGAATATTGCATCATAAAGTATCCGATGGCATTCGATATGTGATCTGTTTCTCGTATTTAAAATTTGACAAACAGTGTTATAAGAACAGCATCAAAAAGACACGGCACTGTCTCGCGCTATTCTTGCGCGACGCTGTCTTGGAGCGACACAATTTTTGTATCAGTTATATCGTGAAGTCCACTCTTATAATAAAGTAGCACGCTTAAAAATAACATTTGAAAATATATAACAATTTTCTAAAACTTATTTAAATATATATGTCGTTATATATAATCTTATATAATCAATGACCATATAAACTCTTATCAGGCCAAAATTCATATATAATAAGATAGCTTCTTATATGAGCATATAACACACTATAAGAGATATTTTTTATATGTCCTTATAGAATCTTATATAATCATATATGACCATATAAGATCTTATGTGGCTAAAATTCATATATAAGCATATAAGATCGCTTCTTATATGAACAATAAGACATTATAAAGGTTTTTTTTCCCGGGTTGTCATGCAGCTATATATGGTCCATGACAAATGTGTGCGCACGTTTAATCGCAAATTTACTTGCATAAATTGTTTTTTAGACATGAGTTTAGATGAAAATAATTGAATGTTCAACAATTTTTGTTCTCATTATTTCTAATGATTGTTTTATTTAATTCCGAATTTTTGTACTTTCTAAATACACGATAAACAATGCTTGTTTAGTTTCAGACAATAAAAAATAAGTTCCAGATCAAATTGTGTCGATCAGTCAAAGTGTCGAATTTGTCCTGGCATTTTTCAATTTGAAAATTTGTCTTCGCGTCACTTTTCCTTTCCTGGGGGCAAAACTAAACGACGTACAGCAAAATTTCCTTAAGCAATTTTGTACCTAAAAAAACACTCTTTAAATGTGTACCATTAAAGAGTGGGGGCAAATTTCGCCTATTTTTTGGACCTCAAATTTCAAATTTTTTTCATGGCAAATAGTACTATTAGATGAAACATTAATCCCAGTAAAATTTCAAGATGAGCATAGGCATGGTTCCTGAGATACAAGGGGGTGAAAGTGATGATTTCCAGTCAGGGTGTATTGCATAAAGAAGAATGCGTGGCTATCTCGGGAAATTTTCATGCTAGACGAAAACAAAGGTCATATTTGAATTCGGCGTAAAAAAATCCATAAGAAACGATATGTTTCACTTTGTTATATATTTTTTATTCTTTAGTATAGACACTTGAAGAGTTTCGTGTACTTTCATGGATTATGAGAAACCATCACTTTCAACCCTTCATATCTCCGGAACCGTGCCTATGCTCATCTTAAAATTTCTCTGGGATTAATGTCCCATCATATAGTACTATTTGGCATAAAAAAAGTTTAAAATTCGAGGTCCAAAAAATGGCGAAAAAACAGATCTTTTTGCCATCACTCAAATGCTTGAAAATTTTAATTAATTGTTGACAATTGCCTTTGAAAAAATCGTCTCCCCTACAGAAATATTGTCCCCTTTATTTTTGGAGGAATTATACAGGACACTGTTTGAGAAACACTGGTGTAGAGATATAATGATATAGATTGTAGATTTATATTTCCGGTGAAAGAGATTTATTGATACTGGTGATAACATCATACTAGTATATGCTTGTGCTTAACGAATCTGTTAACGATTGGCCATTATTTTGACAAAAAACAGACACATGCTCATTTAATCAATTTTTTAAATAAAAAAATTTTTAATTAGGTTTACTTCTTTTTTTTAATTAATCGTTAAATATTAAAGTTTTTTTTACAATAATTATTATTTTTATTTTTAATTGTTTAAATAAATAGTAAATATTTTTCTCCAATGGGTCGGACACTGGGATGTGTCCGGCCACTGGGACGTTTACCTTAATGTAATATTGAAAAACTTAGGTACTGAAAAAGAGATTAATAAGAAACAAAATACAAAAAACAAGAACTTTAAAATTAATGGGTAAAAAAGTTGGTTAAAAAAAATTAAACGGTAAAAAAGACAGGTTTAAAAAGTTCAAAATAATATCTAATAAATAAAAAACAGTTTTAAAAAGTTTAAAATAAAAAATACGAAAAGGTAAAATTTTCTAAAAATTTAATACATATATAATAAAAAATACTTTATTTTTACGCTATAAGTAATTGCACATTTAAAAAGAGCTGTCGGGAGACGTAACGCCAAATCTAATATTTCTTAATCATATTTATTTCTATTTTACAATATTAATACTAAATATACACGCGCGCGCGCGTGTTATGTGTCTGTGTATGTATATGTACGAATGTACATGTAAAGAAAGGTACTTTCTTCATTTGAACTCGCCGCGCTACTGTAGTTGGTAGTAGGCCGAAGTCGGTAACTGACCAAGAGAGATAGATAGAGAAAGAGATAGAAAATGATAAGCACGTGTGCGTATCTTGCAAAATCATTGAGATAGAAAGATTGTTTGAATAAAGAGTAATTAGAGGTGTAACGGAGAAAGAAACTTTAATTGTCGTTTCTCTTGTTACAGGTAAAATTGTAAATATTGTACATAAATTGTTAAAACATAGTAAATAAAATTTAATTCTCTTGTTACAGAGCAACACATTGGTTTTTTTCTTGGAAAATCCTCAATAATAGAAATCATCTTACAAAACGACAATTTTAGTCAAGTAAAATAATGGATGAATTACAATTTGAATTTACAATAGTCGCTTCTCCAAAAGACGAAAAGTCGGCTACGATAGCCATAACCTCAATTAGAACAGAAGACGGATTGACGTATGTCTTACAAGGAGACCATGAATACATATATAGCCAACCATATAGAATTAATGAAAACAGAGAATTATTTGAAACAAAGAATAGTTTAAAAAAAGACATCAATCAAGAAAAGTGTGGATCTCTATGACAGAAGGTTG